TGCTTCATCTCAGTCTGCTGCTCCTTTTAATCTGGTATCCTGTCCATCCGTACCCGTACCCATTCTCCTCGTCATTGACTCACTCTCTCTCTTCATTTTCGTCCTCCTTTGACTGTTTCATTTTTGACGGCGACAACGCGGCGTATGAGCAATTTCCCATTTTCCAGTTTTTGTTTATCAGGCTCGCAAACGAAGAAGTACAAATGGATGTGGCAAGGAATTGGAGTTGGAATTGGAATTGGGCATCGGACAGGGGCATGCGGCAAGTGGCAAAGCCTGCCTCGCAGAAGTGGCTAATGGTTTGGGGAATGGGAATAGAAACTGAAGTACGAGTGGCTTATGTAAGCAGCAGTGGAGTTGTTCAGTACAGTTCTGTTTCGGTTCTTGGCTAAAATATTAATTAGCTGGGCCCGCAGATGCACTGCTCCTCGTCCTACGTCCTTCTCCTCCTTTAAGCTTTTAGGCAGTCGCCACCTCCTTCTTCTCCTTCTCCTCCTCCTGCTACCCTGCTGCCCTTCTGCCTTCTGCCTGCCCGCTGCCTGCTTCCTCCTGCTGCTGCTGCTGCAAGCTCTTTAGGCCTCTCCGCTACTCTTTCTACTCTCCGGCTCGAGGCTGCAGCTTGGAGTGGATTGGAGTGGCGCCCCAAAGGCAAATTATGTTGTCTGTGTCTCTGTGTATCTGTGACTGTAACTGTAGCTGCGACTGTATCTGTGTCCGTTTACCGTTTGCCAGTGCATTAATTAAGGTAAACAACAAACACACAGACACAGACTTTTCCACAGGGACACTGGGCGCAGATCGGGGGAGACTCAGAGTGAGAATGAGAGGCAGAGGCAGTTGCAGTTGCATAGGCACAGGTGAAAGCTGAGCTGAGCTCCTTTGGCCTGATGATTTTGGTTAAGTTTCTCAGCTCGTTATGGCCTGGGCCTGGTGGGCCTGCTTTGATCTTGGCTCCTTGGTCCTGCTGCTTGAGCGGCTTTTAAGCGGGTTTAAACACCTTTCGAGCAGACGCGTACAGACGTGTAGCACAGTCGCTGCGCTGTGCTGTGTGGCACGCATCGTACAGCAAACAGTAAAAAAAAAATTGAAAAAATATATATGTATATATATATATGTAAGATTTATAATATAGAATTGTTTATTATGCTTATAGTTCAAATACAGTTAGAGATTACATGATTTAGAAAATAGTTCAACTTGATTAATTGTTCTTATAACTCCCGTACAACTTTCCGCTGCTGCTTCCAAAAACCGACTCTGACTATCGACTTCTTCCTATCGCCTTGCGCTATCGCCTTCTACCTTATATCGGTACATCTTACCGATAGTATCTTAAGATTAATGTCATGTCTTATCCGCTTGATACCCTTACTCTTTACATATATATGTATATGTGCGAGAGCCAGCGGGCGAGAATGGAAACTTGGAACACACTCGAACAAACAACAAACAAATAACAACAGCAACAGCAACAACGGGGAATCACGCGCGGCAACGCGGCACGCACCTGCAGCACGACTCTACCCACGGCCACCCCCCCCCTGATGCCACTTCAATGGCTCTCGACTCCCCACTGCCCACAACGCCCTCCCTCACCACCTCATTCGCTCGCTCAGGTGGAGTTAACTGTGGCAGGGGCAGCAGGCGTGTGACAAGCAGGCAAAGAGCGGGCTGGGGTGGGACTTTCCCCAAAAAAGCTCGGAAGAAAGGAAGAAAGGAAGAACAGAGTGACACCCACTAGCATGTCAATACTCGGGCTGGAATGTAGGGTCGGCCAGAGTAACTCCCTTGGGTGGAACCCACTTCGGGAATCTTCCTGAGCTGGTTGGGTTATACTGCGTTATTTCCTCTAGCACAAAAAAATTCTCGGTCGCCATATATCTAGTGACTCTTGATTTAAACGTCGCTTGCACCTCTCCAATAATTTGAGATGTTGCATTGCCAATTCCACTGAGTTGCATGGATGAATCGCGCGTTTCTAGGCCCGGTCATCAGACTAACCTAGCCGTCAAAAAATTTAATTGACTACCGGAATCTAATACGCATCTGCAATTGCGATATCCTCCGCTTATATCTTTGATTTGAACCACCGCGGTCGCAAGGAAATTTGTGGACGATCTAGACAACAAGGAGCTATGTAGTGAGCTCGGTTCCTGCACCGCCTGTCCTTTGGGCTTTGACTCCGTAGGTGCCTCTAGTACCTCTCGATGCAAGAGCTCATGGTGAGGCTTGCTGCAAATCTTACACCGCGGACCGCTACAGCCTCTAGTTGTATGTCGCTTACTAAAGCAAATCAGGCACAGCGAGTGCTTCTTTACCTCCTGGTAACGTTGTAACGGTGACAATTCCTCAAACTTTAGACACCCTTTCAATCCATGGGTTCCGGGACAAACGTAGCACACTTTTCCATTGCTGCCTATTGCTGCAGCTAAAGACGCCTCACTTTTAACACTTTCATTAATATTTCACGTGCAAGAGACTTGGGTACAAACACAAACACGAGTAAATCTACACCTAACCAAGCACACGGACACCTACATACATACAGCCTCAGGTCACGGTGTTGTTGCGACCACATATGCCCACCCTACCATGATCACCGCTTTCGGCTAGTCCGATCATCCCTTCCGGAAGGCTATCCTGAGGCCTCCTAACCACTCCCATTATTGATCCCTCCTTCCCAGCATTTATTTATTTATTGAAGACTAGCAATTATCTGCTAACATACATTATGATTAAAATTAAAGGAAAAAAAAAAAAGTGGATATAGGAAATAATTAAAAATTAGTGGATTGTAAGAACAGGTATATCTTACTGGCTATAATTTTAAGGGATAATTCAGGGGATAGGGTGTGATAAAGATTATTATAATTAGAGCATAAAATTCGAAAAGGGTCGTGTTGAGCGTAATTAGACCTACAGAATGGTAAACGAAACGGACGAAAGGTACGGGTAGGTCTAAGGGGAACAGAAAAGTCAAGCAGACCAAGAAGTGCTTCTGAGTCAACAAGCCCAACTAGGAGCTTGTGTACAAATATAACGCCGTTACAAATTCTGCGATGGCGCAAAGAAGGGAGGTCTAAAAGATGTAGCCTCGATTGATAAGGTGGCAAGATTCTATCCGAGTCTCAGTTAAACCTTGTGGCACTCCTGATTTAACATTAACGACATTCGACAACACATTAGTAAACAAAACACGTTGTGTGCGGTTAGAAAGATATGACGAAATCCAGTTTAGAAGATTAGTGGGGAAACCAATTAAAGAAAGCTTGTGAATGAGAAGAACCATTCGTTCACGGAGTCGAAAGCCTTGCTAAAATCCGTGAAAATTACGTCTGTTTGCAGGGAGCTTTGAAATCCTCGGTTAATTGCAGAAGAGAACTCGAGAAGGTTTGTCCATGTTGATCGATGTTTAAAAAATCCGTGATGCGATGGAGATATCAGACTCCTGCATAGGTGTTGCAATTGCCTGGTAATGAGGAACTCAAGCAGCTTTGGAATGGCGGAAAGCTTAGCAATACCTCGGTAGTTCTAAATGTGAGATCTTGAACCCTTTTTGTGAAGCGGAATGATATAGGATTCGTTCCAAATCACTGGAAGACAGGACCGTTCCAATGATAGGTTGAAAAGATAAGGACTGGGCACAGTGTTTTAAAATACAACTTGGTACCTTGTCTGGACCCGCCGAGAATGATATGTCAATCGTTGACAAACCGTCTAGAACATCACTTTTCTCAAAGAAAGGCAGAAAAATGCTGGTCCCCGAATATTAGGACGCTAGCAATTCATTATATTACTAAAACAAACAATTTTAATTCTGACTTCTTATAGCTAAACATTTTTAAACTTATACTACAAACAGAGCCAAAAGCGATTGTGTGTGCGCTTGCAATTAATTGATTATTTATTCCCCTGCCGCAAGCACAAACATAAACATAAAACGACTTCAAGCCAAATTTCGGGGCATGTTCGTCGCTGACGGCACCACTGTGCAAGCACATACAGACATATATAGGCTGACATACTCATGCACAGCCCATTTGCTTCACTCACCCCTGTGCTCGACGTTAAGTAGCGGAGGATCGGGAACTGGCACTTTTTTAGCTTTGGTCCTACCGAATCTGGCACAAACACACGGTTTTTTTTTCTTCGCTTATGTACAGCGATATTTATATTGTATGCACTTCCCGACTTGGACCAATATTTTCTGTCCGGCTCTATACGTTACTAGAACTCTTCAGAACGAGCAAACCTCGATCCACGACCTGAGACCCACTCTCCCCAATTCGAACCCGAAGTGCCCCTCGCCTTGCTGGTTCTTTTGGTGGCCGAACTCCCGCTCGCTGCTCTTGAGCCCAACCGTTCTCTCTCTCCCCAATTTGAGATACATTTTGGGTACTGGTCCTGTAGCCTGCTTTCGGGTGGAAGCTTAATACGTTCGACGCTACAAGCCACTTAAAATATTAGGAGTGCAAGGGCTCTGGCATGGGCATGGGCACAGGCACAGACACGGGCTCGGAGTCATTGCCAAGACGTTCGACAGAAATGAAATGTCTCTCAAATGAAAGGAAAATCATTGCCAGCTGCTTCGGAAATGGATACTGCAATAAATATATCTAGGAGGCTGAGGCTGCTCTTGTGACTGAGATTGGTCCTTCCCCTTCAGTCAGTTTCTTTCAATCAGAGTACTCAGAACGACACAAACCTCGAATCGAAGTAGCTGTCTAGCTGCTTGCAACAGAGAATCAATTTACATATGCGGGCAGAGCACACTGTTGATTGTGCTGGGACAGGGACAAAGTAGACTTCGCACACAGCAGACACAACGCAGATGGGTGACACAGAGAGCGCTGGTTAAGCTTGGTTCGTACTTATTCCACGCAACTGATTTGATTCGAAATTTTTAATATTTATTAGCTACCTCTACGGCTCTTTGTTTGACTCTTACCCACAAAAGGAATCAGCATGCGGCCGTTATATCTCGCTCACTCCGCCAGGTGGCGCACGCACACTGATCAGGGAAGAGCGAAAGTAAACTCTAGGCCACCCCACCCAACTATAAGCGTACCGATAGACAAACGAAAGGAATCGATAGCCGCACCGATAGACAAACGAATCAGCAGCTCTGTAATTAAAATTTATATATTGGCTGACTCCTTTTTCGGATTACACGCTATACCCAATAACTCGAATAAAGGATTTAGTCGTGCAACATGCGTGAAGACCAGACCCATTTGCTGCATCGCCTTTACCGGATTTTCCGGCTCGGTTTTCTTCGCCATCTCGCAGTGCAAGTGCAGCACGCGATCGTTGAAACGCTGCTCGATCTTTTTCAGCGTAAATGAAGACTTCGGCTGCATGGTCGCTGCCAAGTCGCGCACAGCTCCCATCGCACTGGCAAATACCTCCAAGCTTTCCACGGGTGGCGGCAGCTGTGCCCAGTACAGATCCTGCACCAGTTCGATGTGTTCGCGAAAGGACTCGCTGCTCTCCCACATTTGTAGCAGACTGGCCCTGAAGCGTTGCACATCCTCCGCCTCGCACTGCAGCAGCTCCACAAATCGGCGCGTCCGATCCGGCAGCAGCAGCAGACGCTGCTCCACATCCACACGGTCACATTGAGTGTAACACTCTGAGGTCTCGAGCTCGGTCTGCACCGCCTGGACGCAAGTGGATATTGACTCCGTTTGGACAAAGGACACGTAGTCTGCCGTGGCAGTTGGCGCTGCCTCCAAACTCGCATGCTGCGAACGGAAGGAAAGCATCGATGTATCCGAGTGGACGGTGTGAAGGGAAGCCATCGAGTAGAAGCTGTTGCTCGACAGACTCCGCTGCAGCGCACGGCGGCGCACTCGGCCGCGATAGATGCGGCTACAGATGTCGGTACATTTGGGCATCGTCCGCTTGCGTTGCCTCGAATCGAGTTGCTGTATATGCTCCATCTCTGGCTGCTCCATGTCATCAGCGACGAAGAATGATTCCATGGTTAAGCCAGGAACCTCGTTGAATGCTGGGGCAGGAAACTCGCAGAGAGTCTCCATGGACACAGGAGGCTCGCCGAGAAGCTCCGTGCCAACAAGAAGCAACCCATTGGGACTGTCGAGAGCCTCGCTGATCTGCTCTGATCTATCCTTGGTCTTGCTCGGATTAGCAGCAGCATGCAAACGTCGATATCTGCGTAGTGCTGGCAGCGTTTTGGCAGACCCGTGGCTGGACACTTGACCCACAGCTGCTCCACCCACACCGCGCAGATCACCTTCAACCACTGCTTCTTCTGCTGCAGTGAGCGTCTCATTGGAGGGGCAGGAAAACATGGTACTCACCTCGGGCGGATTCTTGGCTGCGAGTATTTGGTCCGCCAGCTGCTTCACGCTGCATGCTATCAACTGGAAATCCTTGTGTGGGGGAATATTTGCCACGCTCTGCCGCTGTTAAGAGAGAGGGAAAAGAAAAAACTATAAGTCTCATCCACATGTGGCACTCGTCTCCTGTTTACCCACCTCAATGTCGCGCAGAACACAGCCCAGTTGAAGGCTTGCGGACTGCAAATCCTTGATCTCCTCTCGTTTGGCCCGCTTGGCCGGACTGTCGTAGAGCTCGTGGGCGAGACTAAAGCCCTCCGGGAAGACTCCAATTTCACGCTCCATGCGCTGGCACAGCTTATCCTTGGTGCGCAGCTCATCCTCCAGGCAGCGGGCACGCTCCTCGGACTCCTTCAATTGCGACTCCATCTGCCGGATCTTGTTCTCCAGCGTGCCCACCTCCTCTTTGAGCTCCCCATTGGTGACTTCGTTGTGCATGAAGCTCTTGCGCAGATCGTACATTTGGCTGCGCAGAGCTTCGGCCTCCTGCTTCAGCGCCTCCTCGGTGCTCGCCTGCAGCTTCTTGGCGAAACTGAGTTCATCGATCAGCGCCTGGCAGCGTCGCTTCTCGTTCTCCAGGGCCATCTGTTGCTCCACCTCCAGCTGCTCCTGGGCCTCGAGCAGATCGTGAACTTCTTTGGTCAGTCGCACCAGGCAGGTCTTCAGGCCCGCTGCCGCATGCGAATCCTTGCGCTCCTGCTCCTGTTCAGCCCAGACCGAGTCGGCCGACTCCATGGCCTCGTAGTGGCGTGCGTCGAGATCCTTCAGCTGGCTGCGCAGCACCTTGACCTCTTCCCGCAGGAAGCTGACCTCCCGCGCGTCACAGCTATGCCGTGGACTCTCGCTCTGTTTGAGTGTGTCCTCGGGTTTGGCATCGATATCAGCACACTGTCCGGAGTAGAGGCGGGCACTGGGACTAGCGGTGAATATGTCGTTGCCCATTTAGGCCAGAGCCAACAGGCGACAGATCAACAGCAGTGGCAGAGATCGACGCAGTGCCTCCAATTGTCGCTTCGTTCGCTGACGCTCCTCGTGCAGATGCTCCAATTGCGTCTCCGCCGCACCCAAATCCTCTCTCAGTATCAGGCACTCGGCGCGGCAGTCCTTGTACTTGGCCCCCAATGCGTCCTTGCTGAACTCTAGCTCCTCGTTCCGCTGCCGTGGGATCTCCAGTTCCACCTCGTTGCGCTGCAAATGCAACCGCGTGTTGTTCTCCGCCTCGTTAATTTAGTTTTTTGTGTATCGAGTTCAAATGTATGTATTAGTAATTTTTTTAAAATAAATATATGGCATATCCCTGGGGCTTGGCTTGGCTGGGCCTTGGCAGTTCGAGAACTGACATAGTGGCCCGAGCTTGCTACACACCTGTTCGGCTGACGGCATGGCATCTAGATCCAATTTCTGGACACATTGCAGCAACTGTTGCAAGCAGCGTTTGTCCCGCCAAGAGTTTTTTTATACCCGTACTCAAAAAAGAGTTAAGGGGTATATTAGATTTGTGGTAAAAGTGGATGTGTGCAACGCAGAGAAGGAAATGTTTCCGACCCCATAAAGTATATATATTCTTGATCAGCATCAATAGCCGAGTATATATAGCCATGTCCGTCTGTCCGTCCGTCTGTCCGTCCGTCCGTCTTATTGAGCGCCTGGATCTCAGAGACTATAAGAGCTAGAGAAACCAAATTTGGTTTTCAGATTCATGTGATATCACACTGCTACAAGTGTATTTCAAAATTTCGCCCCGCCCCCTTCCGGCACCACAAGGGACGAAAATCTGTGGCAGGCACAGTTTTAAAGATACGATAAAACTAAAACCGCAGTATCGTAGAGAATGCTCATATCTACCAGATTGCCGAATCTGAATCAGATCGGATCATAATTATAGCCAGAATGAAGAAATTATTTTCAGTTGCTTCCCCTCCCCCTCCCACCAACGACAACGCAACTCATTTTCCTTCTCGCTCGCACACTCTGCCGCGTTCAGTGCGCGAGCAACCCCTAGCGGAGGAGATGTAGAATCTAAATGATACATGTACAATCTACATGTTAGATGTAGAATAGACATTGTAGATGAGATGTAGATAACAAATGTAGCAAAAAAATGTAAAATGTAAAATTTTTTTTTTAATTCTAAAATTCAAAAAAATCAAGCTCAAAAATGTATATACTGACTGAGTACGGGTATAAGTAGAGTCGCGTCCCTAGAAGCGACTCACACGTTCCTTCTCGTTTTTTCTTCGCTTATGTACAGCGATATTTATATTGTATGCACTTCCCGACTTGGACCTTGTAGCCTGCTTTTGGGTGAAAGCTTAATACGTTCGACGCTATAAGCCACTTCAAATATTAGGAGTGCAAGGGCTCTGGCATGGGCATGGGCACAGGCACAGACACGGGCTCGGTGTCATTGCCAAGACGTTCGACAGAAATGAAATGTCTCTCAAATGAAAGGAAAATCATTGCCAGCTGCTTCGGAAATGGATACTGCAATAAATATATCTAGGAGGCTGAGGCTGCTCTTGTCACTGAGATTGGTCCTTCCCCTTCAGTCAGTTTCATTCAATCAGAGTACTCAGAACGACACAAACCTCGAATCGAAGTAGCTGTCTAGCTGCTTGCAACAGAGAATCAATTTACATATGCGGGCAGAGCACACTGTTGATTGTGCTGGGACAGGGACAAAGTAGACTTCGCACACAGCAGACACAACGCAGATGGGTGACACAGAGAGCGCTGGTTAAGCTTGGTTCGTACTCATTCCACGCAACTGATTTAATTCGAAATTTTTAATATTTATTAGCTACCTCTACCTTAGGAATAGGCCACCCCACCCCACCGCTCCGGCAGCAGCAGCAGACGCTGCTCCACATCCACACGGTCACATCTGAGGTCTCGAGCTCGGTCTGCACCGCCTGGACGCAAGTGGATATTGACTCCGTTTGGACAATGGACACGTAGTCGGCCGTGGCAGTTGGCGCTGCCTCCAAACTCGCATGCTGCGAACGGAAGGAAAGCATCGATGTATCCGAGTGGACGGTGTGAAGGGAAGACATCGAGTAGAAGCTGTTGCTCGACAGACTCCGCTGCAGCGCACGGCGGCGCACTCGGCCGTGAAAGATGCGGCTCCAGATGAACCGTTTGAGCACTCTTCCGCTTGCGTCGCCTCGAAAAGAGTTGCTGTTTATGCTCCATCTCTGGCTGCCCCATGTCCTCAGGATTCTTGGCTGCGAGTATTTGGAACTGCAGAGATCGACGCAGTACCTCCAATTGTCGCTTCGTTCGCTGACGCTCCTCGTGCAGATGCTCCAATTGCGTCTCCGCTGCACCCAAATCCGCTCTCAGTATCAGGCAATCGGCGCGGAAGTCCTTGTACTTGGCCCCCAATGCGTCCTTGCTGAACTCTAGCTCCTCGTTCCGCTGCCGTGTGATCTCCAGTTCCACCTCGTTGCGCTGCAAATGCAACCGCGTGTCGTTCTCCGCCTCCTCGAACTCACACTTGGCCTCCTCTAGCAGGGCGTTCTCTCGCGCCTCTTTCTCCCGCAGCACCTCTCTCTTACAATCCGCTGGTGGCTCTGTGTATGCCGCAGACGCTGATCTGCTTTGGTCTGTCGAAAAACGGAATACCAAAAAATTTTATTTAATTTTTTGTGTATCGAGTTCAAGTGCATGTATTAGTAATTTTAAAATAAATATATGGCATATCCCTGGGGCTTGGCTTGGCTGGGACTTGGCAGTTCGAGAACTGACATAGTGGCCCGAGCTTGCTACACACCTGTTCGGCTGACGGCATCATGGCATCAAGATCCAATTTCTGGACACATTGCAGCAACTGTTGCAAGCAGCGTTTGTCCCTGTCCGCCAAGAGTTTTGTGAACACTAGAACGGATCCACAGCCTAGAAATTTCCTAAGGAGAACGACCTGGCCTTTTGATCTGTTTAAATACGATCTAAGGATCTAATCGGAAAGGAAGAGCAGTGCGCTGCACTGCACTGGCTCAAGCTTAGCTAAGCTGTTCTAAGTCCAGAGCTTGCACGCACCCGCCCTAAATTTGTAAGATACCTATTTCAGGCTGGGATATGCTTCAGCCTGTCCAGGGTCCTCTACAAGAAATTTGCAGATGTATGGGAACTAAAGGCTCGGGGCTGGCCTCGCTATGTCCGAAAGAGCAGTAGGCAAGGTGGGAAGAATGATGACGCGGTAGCTTTTGTGGTTTTTGTTTATTATTAATGCTTTTATTCGTTTTACTTGCTTACAATTTCGAGACCTGCTGGTCTCGCTGGTCGTGTTGTGAGCTGGTGGACTGCTTAGTATAGTGTCTTGCGTTTGTGAATGCCTAGTGCAGTGTCTTGGGTTTGGGCTGATGGACTGCCTAGTACAGCCTCTTGGGTTGGGGCTTATGGACTGCCTGCTTTTTTTTTGTCTGGACGTTGTTACGCGCGGAACCCAGGCAGAAACGCAGCCCTCCTCCCGCCCAACCGACCGAGGGGCGCTGCCGCATGACGCGCGACGCGTGTTACCGAACCGATCGCGAGCATGCAGGAAAGATAGGTGTTAGACTAAAATTCGAGGAAAATTAGAGCTAAACACAACTCAAAGAGCTAAACATGCAAAGATAGCTAAAAAATATAACTAATTACGGGAAAGGTATGTTAGTATTAGTGATTTAAGAAGAGGAAGGGAATTAGCAGTTGATATTATGTGGTAAGGGGGAATTGAAGTCCGAGCAAAGGACCCTAAATGGTTCGTGCAAGGAATAATTCGATCTACAAAGCGGAAGGAACAAAAGAATGAAGTTTCTAGTATATCTAATAGGAATCGTAAAGTTTATGCGGCTCAACAAGTCAGGGCTATCTACGTCACCCTTGATCAGGTTGTGCATAAAAATCACAACAAGCATTTTTCTACGACTAAGGTTGGAAGGTTTATTAAAAGCAATCTACGAGGATAAGATGACAGTCTCACACCTGCATCCCAGTTAAGGCCACGCAGAGCAAAAAGTAAAAAGTTTTTCTGGACTGATTCTATACGGTCCTGGTGTACTTTGTACTGGGGGCACCATACACAAGAGCCGTATTCTAAAATCGGACGAACCAGCGAGATGTAGAGAGTCTTCGTTATATAGGGGTCGTCAAATTCCTTTGACCACCTCTTTATAAACCCAAGCACACCCATGGCCTTATCTACCATGGTAGAAATGTGTTCAGAAAACTTCAACTTTGGGTCTAATTTAACACCAAGATCATCAACCAAGGTAATTCTCTCAAGAGAACCACCGCAGAGGCTATAGGGAGCCGAAAGGGGGCTGAAGCGATGAAATGTCATTACTTTGCATTTCGAGGCATTTAGGTGTAACATATTTGCACAACACCATGACTGAAAGTTATTAAGATGGGATTGCAAGCAAGAGTGAAATGAAATGTCCTTATACTGGACATACATGAGTACTCGAAAGTTTGTTAATACTGAAGGCAGATCATTAATAAAGAGTGTGAATAGTAGGGGGCCTAGATGGCTGCCCTGTGGTACTTAACAGGTGAAGAGAAGGAGTTTTTGAAGAGGACTCTTTGAGACCGAGAACGAAGGTAGCTAGAAATCCATCTCAAAAGATGAGGCGGAAACCCTAAAAGGTCAAGTTTTTGTGCTAAAAGGCTTACAGAATCGAATGCCTTACTAAAATCAGTGTAAATGACATCCGTCTGCAAGTTACCTTGAAAGCCTTTAATGATAAAAGAGGTAAACTCTAATCAATTTTTGGTTGTTGATCGTCGCCTTATAAATCCGTGCTGGGACGGAGATATAAGTGATTTGCAGAGATGTTGTAAATGCGGAGTTAAAATTTTTTCAAACATTTTAGGAATAGCGGATAACTTAGATATAAGTTGTAGCATGAAGAGTTAATGGATAGGCTGAATAGTTTAAGCAAGGGTCCACACAGAGCGTCGGCACAGTACCTAAGTACACAGCCGGGAACTCCGTCGGGATCTGGTGAAAACACCGGCTTAGCTAGTCGAAGATCATGAAGCAGTGAGCTTTCATTTAACAAGGGGCTGAAGATGCCATTCGACCTTGGTAAGCTGTATGGATACGGCTGACCAGAGTAGCTTTCATAAGAATAGGTTGTTTGGAATAATTTGGCAAAAAGATCGGCAATTGCCTGATCATTGTTTGCTGACATATTGGGAAAAGATAACGAGGATGGATGTGCGGACGTTCAACGCTTACTATTTACAAAGCTGTAAAACTGTTTAGGGTCCTGTGAAAATCGTATCCTGCATCGAGAAAGGTAGTCTTTATAGCATTGACTGTTAAGAACGGAGAAATTTGACCGAGCTATTACATAGTGAGAAAGAGAAGAGGGAGAACCAACTTCTCGAAATTTTTTATAAATTCTTGATTTTAAATTTTTTAGACTGGATAACTCTTTGGTAAACCAAGGAGGCTTTCCAGATCTAACCGGACAAGAAAGTGGGACACAAGAATCAAAAAATGTATCAAGTACATTGTAAAAAATGCTTGTGCCTTTCATAACGTCAGTGCACAAGTACAGAGCGGACCAATCAAAATCCCTAATAAGGTTATTCAGCTTCGTAAACTCGGCTTTATGAAAGCAGCGGACACGTTCAGATAGCCGATCCAATACAGTAGGGCCAATATCGACACTTCGAATGTAGGATGGTAGGAGTCTTTAGGTATACTGAGCGGAACGGCTCGGGTTAACAACGCTATGGTCGGATCCGAGACAAAGCACAGATCAAGCAATCGACCCAAGGAATTTTTCACATGGTTGACTTGAGACAGGGATAGGTCTAGCAAGCCGTCGTTAAGTCATGTCGTGACATGGGCACAAGGTTATTAGACTCGTTTACCGAAGACCAAACAGTACCTGGCAAATTAAAAACACCAGGAACTATCATATGGTCTTTATCTGATAGCGAGAAAAGAAACAGTTTTTAAAGCGGACAGGTGATGCTCGTATATTAAGATATCCGAGGAAGGTGGAATATACGAGCAAGTAATGAAAATGGAAAAGCCTGGGAGAATCAGTTTTACGCACAGGAATTCCAGGTCTTGTTGAACCTGGACCATGAAATGTTCCGACGTGAAGTTTGAGTCCACTGCAATAAGGACCCCACATCCACGTCGAGACAAACGGTCATTTCTAAAAATTGTGTACCGACCTGCCAAAACTTCGGAACTAAGGATGTCCGGCTTTAACCAGGTCTCGGTGAACACAATAACGTGGGATGAGAATGCGAGACTCTCAAGGAAAAGAGTGCTGAGCTTACTACGCAAGCCTCTAGCATTCTGGTAGGTAACTACAAGAGAGGAAGTTAGTTTTTTGGATGGGTGGAAGTAGAGGTGGAAGATGAGGATGGAGATGGAGCACTGGTCTGAATGCTAGGAAACTCTTAAACTCTTTAACCACCAAATGCTCTGGCCAAAGCTTGGCGGAACAAATGGTTTCAAATTGAGTTGGGGAGACGCTTATCTTGAAGGAAGATATCTCCCTGACGTAAGAAATATTAAATTTTTCCACCTTTAAGCCAACGGCTTTTATTTTGCTTTTTATAAAAGCGGTCACATCATTGGATGTGAGGTCAGGGGCTAGCCGCGAGACAAAAACTTGTCGCTTTGGTGGGACTCCTACCAGTGGTTTTGGCACCACAGGCCTAGTACCTGTGTTGGCAGTATCCGGTGGTCCTGGACATCTATTAGCTGGTGGGAGCGAAACTGAGGGGATAGTTAAGGGGTTGGGTGCGGACTCGCTGGACACGGACTCTACAGACATTTCGAACAGCATACTCTCCGAAGTGACGCATTCGGCTCCCGAATCTGCATCACCAGCAGCGATCGTTGCCCTTGGAGTAGCAAACGTAATCAACCGCTGCACTAAGGGAGTGGTCGGAGTAAGTTTTTCAGATGCCGGCAGCTGTAAACTGCTGAACTGAGTTTTCATGGCCAAGAGCCGATCATATTGCTGTTTAAAGCCTACGATCAGCTCTTTGAAGCCACTCCGCGTCTGCCTCATGAACGAACGCATGTCGTTTTCCACAGCACGGCATTCCTCACAACTATAATTTAGGCCGTTGTTTTGGGAAATGGCGTCTCCTACACGGCCCGAGATCCCTACACATTTTGCGTGCACTACGCTTTCGCAAAGCCAGCAGGGGATATTGAGCTGGTCATGGGTGATCTGCTTCTTGCAGGTTTTTTTTGGCACAGACGACAGAAAATTCCATATTTATGTCTTTTATTTTTTTTTACTTTGGGAAAAAAAAGTTCAAAACAAATAGCAATCAGACCACTGTGCAGAGCAAATTCTTAGAGCAATGCTTAAAGCGAAATCGGTAAAAGATGAGAGAGGAGAGTGGTTGCAGCAACAGCTTATAAGTGAGAGCGTTACTGCACAAAAAGTTACAAAGAGCGAGAGCGAAAGAAGAGTTATTGAGAGTTAGGTGATAGAGAGAGTGATAGACGGCAATAACTACGACAAAGAGCGGCTAAATGTAATGAGAGGGCGTATTTACGAAAAGCAACAACACAAACACACGACTAACCGACGCACAAAATTTATTAAATAAGTTGTGTTTTTACACAATTATCAGGCATGCACCCGCGGTAAAAGTATGATTTTAATGTAAATTAGTTAGAGAGTTAAATTATAGATAAAAAACACCGGCTGTTTAAGTTAAACAAAAGGCAAATGCGGAGCGCAAAACAAAAACAAGTCTGGTCACTACGAAAGAGAACGAACGATGACTTCTTCGGCCGATCTTGGCCCTTTTATG